GTGCAGGCTGATGTCAGATGGCATTTGGGATCTTGTAGAACAGGAGAGGATGCCAAGGTGCTGGTTGCCTTGGGGATGCTGGGATAAGGGGCTGTGGCAGGAGGGATGGTTCTGTAAGAAGGAATGACTCAGAGGGGGTGGGGCAGCGGGCACTGCCAGGAGCTCTCAGTGCCTTGGAGAGGTTTGGTCCCCCTGCCCAGCAGCGTCACAGCCTGGATGAGTTTGGGAGAGAGAGAGATGAATGCTGAGATGGCGGGGGGCTGGGGGGGGGCTGTTAATGGGAAAGGATGGAATTACAGGGGTCACGCTAGGTGAGCAGCTTCCTTTGCCGAGCTGATGGTATCGAAGCAGGTGCCACCGGCCACAAATACCTTGGGCAAACAAACAGGGCTGGAGGAGAGCGGGTGAGCTCAGGTACGGCTGTGCTGGGGTGTGTGGGAATCCAGAGGGTGGGTGGCTCTGAGCATTCCTCCTCCCTGGGGCTGTGCTGTCTTCCGGGGTGCTGCATGCTGACGTATCCCAGGGGATGGACCTCTCTCTGCTATAGCATCCCCAGGATACCCTGATCCTGGGCAGCCTACGCGAGGCACGGCTGTGGCCGTGCTGTAGGTGGGGCTGGTTCCCTGCTCCATCAGTGCTCCGCTTCTCTTCTCACGTTGCTTTCCTTCTCGGGTACCGGTGGCTGAATGGATGCTCAGCACAGCCAGGACTGTGGGGCACAGTGCCTGGTGATGCTGGAGCACGGCTTGTGCCATGAGACGGGCCCAAAGCCATAAGCACCCAGGGGAGGTGTTAAAAGTGAACACAGTCAGGTGGTGTCAGACAGCTGCAGTCTGTGCCCACTGCTGCACAGTGGGAATTTCCATCTGCACAGCACAGTTCTGCCACGCTGTCCCCTCCTGTGTCCCCAGGCAGTGATGGCACTTTGCACCCAACAGCCACAGCTGAGATACCCTGGGGTCACAGGTGTCCTGCCCCCCAACCCCTCTCATCACTGCAGGCTGGCATGGCCCTGGTGCTGGCAGAGATGTCACCACAGGCCACAACTCCCTGCCAGGGCTGGTGGCGGCAGGGCTGTGCCCAGTGGGATTTGGGGTCTGCTGGCCGGACCTGCTGTTCTGTTTTTAGGGGAGATGGGCAAGATTTGGTTTCCGTGGTGGAAACTGCAGGTATGAGCTTGGGTAAGTCCATGGGGCTGGACCAAAGAGCAGCAGGTGCGATGGGGAGCGTGCCCACATGGCCCCTCCTCTGGGGCTGGCTCTCTCCCCTTGTCCCCATGCAGGGTGCCAGGGGCTGGTTACCCAGGATGAGGTCGGGATGAGGAACATCTCCACCGGGCTGGGATGTCCGAGGGGCCATAACCCTGGTGTTTTGCAAACTCCTGAGGTCAGCAGTTCAGCTGCCACTGACACAGGGGCCCGGAGACACACACACGGGCATTTTGGGTGGATGCTATAAGCAAACAAAAGGAGGTAGAATTACAGGCAGCCGACAGCCCCCCGGCCACCAATGTTGGTTTTAGGCTTAGCCCCCCCGCAGGGCTGGGTGCAGGCATCCTCTTCCCAGGAGGACCCAAACTGAAGTCAGATGTGCTGCAGGCCAAGAGGAAGGTGCTGGGTGGGCTATGCCAGCCAGCAGCACACTGAAAGCAGGTCCTGGAGGTGCTGTTTGGTCCATGCTGGGCAGCAGGGATGGGGTGGAGCTGCTCAAGCACCACATGTGCTTGTCCTCATCTGCGTATGTCACCATTTTTCCATGCCCAAGGCCCATAGTCCCCCTGTTCTGGCTGCTGTGTCCAGAGAAGATGGATGCCAGAATGCCCAACCTCACGTTTAAATTACTCAAGGCTATCACCTTCTTCATTAATTGACCCAACACAAAGTGCCCTTATTGGCAGCTTCCATCTAACTCAGGCCCAGTGGTGGGACTTGATGGGATCTTTACCAGTTCTCCCCCTTTGGAAGTGTGTGTGGCCTGGTGGTCTCTCTCCCCATTGCTGCCCCACCCCCCTACTACTCCTTGTCTTTTCCCATGTCCCTGGCTCACCTCCAAGCCCTCCCTTGTATCTACCCAAAGGGGCCACACCACTGTGGTCAGTCCTGTGCGGGGTGGGCGCAGCCCCATGTTTCTGTTCTCCTGTGCCGACATTCCCACCACGCTCAGCCCTGGTGCCACCAACTGAACAGAGAGGAGAATCAATGAGGAGCAGCTGTGCCCGCCTCCCTGTTCCTGGAGCTGTGGGTAGTGCAGACGAGGTCATTCCCACGTAACACATTGTGGTGGGGTCTGGCCCTTGGGGGGGATGCTGAGTTAATGGTGAGCAGTGGGATCGCCCCGGGCTGCTCAGCACCACTCAGCCATGGAGAAGAGCTGCTGCCTCCACAACGCCCCATTAATGCTGCAGGCAGGGCTGGAGAGGGTGCAAGCAGAGGGAGCGGTGTCCCGTTGGCGCCACGGGGGGGTCTCCATGTGCCCATTTGGGGATGTGTGGCCGAGCATCCAGGCCTGCAGACAGGAGCTCCTCTCACCCTCAGATGGGTGTTGGGGTGCGCCTTGCAGGTGCTGCTCTCCTCCATCAGCTGGGGTTGGTGTTGTGGTCTGTGTCTCAGCAGTGCTAGGGGCTCGTGGTGAACTGCAGCCACACTCTCTGGCAGAAGGGCCCCCCTGGGTTGTGGGTAGGGATGGGGGTAGAGCAGGGACCCTGCTGAACTGTGGAGGCTGTCAGGCATTTTGCACGATGGAGTGAACAGTGGAATATAATGGCCCTGATACTGTCTGCTCCATGGCTCAGCCCAGCTGGAGCAGCCCTGGAATCTCCTCCAGCCATCAGTGGCCCGACCATGGGCTGCCTTCCTGGGCATTCCCCATTAGCCGTGGCAAGGAAAGAAGATGATGTGGGCGATAAAATCCTGACCTGGATATCCCCAGCTCTATGGAAAAGGATGAAGGGAGCAGAGCTCGCATCTCTGGGTGTTTGATGCTTTGCCCACAGCATTCAGTATTGGGACCCGTTGGGTCCATGCTGGCTGCCTCCCCCAGGAGCGACAGCAGTGGCAGCAGGAACACCCCATGTCCACAGCCTTTTGCTGGGATGGGATTTTTTCCCCCTCCCCACGGCAGCTCAGCCCTGTGCCTCAGGCTGAGCTTTCTCTGCCCAGCAGGAGGGCCAGCCATGAGCCAAGCGCCCAGTTCCCCATCCCATGACACTGCTCACCTGCACGGAGGTGGGGAAGGACGGGGCAGCAGCAGGAGCACTGTTTGTCATTGTGTCAGCAACGTGTGGCCTCCCGTGGGTGATCCCTGTGTCACAGCCATGCTGGCAATCTAGCCTGTTTGCTGAGGGCAGGGGGCACGTGGAGCCATCAGCCCCCAGCTCTCTCCGACCCCCCAGCACATGGTGCAGCTGTGCACGCTCTGTGTGCTGCATGGTGCTGCACGGCCTGACCCCGCACCCACGGAGGGGTGACCACGAGTAGCATCTGGGAGAGAGGTGCTGCATCCAGACCTTTCCTTTCGATGGATAAGAAAAGCAGGAGTGTTCCACTGTAGGGCAGTGGGAGCACCTTGTGCTGCCCACTCTGGTGCTCGACTTGTGGGCACGGCGCTGCCTCGCACACGGGGTTGGTGCAGAGGGCTTTTCTCTGAGCAGAACCCGAGGACTGATCACCCCCAGCAGCCGCCCTGCAGCCTCCCAGGTGAATGCGGGCTCAGTCCGAGGCTTCTCCAGGCGTTTAGGAAAGCCCTTCAGAAACATCCCCTGGTCTTTTGCATCGAGAAGAAGGGGACAGCAGTGCTCGGTGCCTGCTCCCAGTGCCCGGCAGCGGGTGAGCGTCAGGGGGTGGTGGTGGGCAGCGTTTTGGGGAGAAGCGTTGGAGGGTGCCTGAGCAAGTGGGGAATGAGCGAGCCGGGCGGCAGTGTGCGTGCGGGGCAGGGAGGGCTGTGCGGGGCTGGGGGGTGCGTGTGTGTGTGTGTGTGTGTGTGTGCCGGTGCGGGAGGGCCGCGCAGGAGCGCTGTGTGCGCTGTCACTCAGAGGCCGGCTGACAGGAGCTGCCTTTCCAGCGGCGGCAGATAGCGCTGATTGCTGATTCGAGGAAACAAAATAGCAATTGTAATTATGGGCTCTGATAAGATAAAGGAGGGCGCGGGGAGCGCGGGGACCGGCAGCGGGGCACGGCCGGCAAATTAGCGGCTGTCACTCAGCGCGGAGCAGGCGGCCCTGGCCAGGTACCGGCCCCGGGGTCCCGCCCGCCCGTCCGCCCGTCCGCCGCAGCCCCGCCGCAGCCCCCGCCCCGGTGCGCAACAGGTGGCGGGGCCGGGAGCAGCGGGGCTCGCCGAACAATGCAGCCCTCGGCGGCCCTACCCGGGCTGCGGGGCTGAGCCCCGTCCCGCCGCGGCCCCATGGCCCCGCGCAGCCGGTGCTGACGGACGGCCGCCCCTCCAGGTAAGCGCCCGGCGGGGACGTCCGGGGGAGGGGGGTCCCGCCGCCCAGTACCCCCGGCTGCGCTGTTTGCTCAGCCTCTCGAAACTCCTGCCCACCCGTCCGCCCCGGTAATCCTTTTAATGTCTGACACGTCCAGCGACGGGGCTCGGCCCCAATCCACAACGCGGACCCTTAAGCCTCGTTTTACAGATGGGGAAACTGAGGCACGGCGCGGGGACGGCATCCCTCTGCCGGCCGAGCCCGTAGCGCCGCCGCACCCGAGCGGCAGCCGCCGAAGGTTTCCCCCGCTCTGCCGCCCCGCCGGGGCCGCCCCCCCGGCTCTCCGCCCCCGCCGCCTCCCGGGCCGGCAGCGGAGCGGAGCGGGGCGGGGGGCTCCCCGCGGCGGGGGGCTGCCGGCCGCGCTCCCCCGGGGGCTGGGCGGGCGGGCGGGCCGGCGGGGGCCTTTCCCCTTCTGTAGCCGCTTGTGCCCTCCTTTCCTCGGGGCGAGGCAGGGCGAGAGGAGTCGAGGAGCCGAGCAGCGCCGCGCCCCCCCCCCCCCACCCCGCCGCCGGGCTCCGGGCTGCCGGCCCCGCAGCGCTCCGCGATGGACCCCTGCTCCTCACTCTTCAGCTACGTGTGAGTACCGCAGACCTCCCTCCGCCTGCCCCCAGCCCTCCCTCCTTTCCTCCCCGCAGCCCCCCGGCTCACACACCTCTCTCCCGCTTTCTGTCCACCCCCTCTTCCAGGTTCATGCACTTGTTCGTCCTCTGCCTGCAAGCCCAGGTAAGCGCCCGCTCCGCCGCCGGCTTTGTTCGCCCCTCGGGGCCGGGGGTCGCGGGGGGGGGGGGGGGGGGGTCGGATTAAAGCCCCGCAGACGACGCGAGCCCCGCTGGAAAGAGCCGGGAGCGGGTGGCTGCACGCTGGGTGCGGGATGGGGTGCGGGGGACGGAGGGCCCCCCGCCCACCCGCGAACCGGGGGTTCGGTCCTCCCGTTCTTCTTTAAATCGCACTGTGGATCGCCCCTTCCTCTTGTCTGGAGTTGTTTTTTCATCCGAAAAACGAAGTAGAATTAAGAAAAAGGGGTCGGGATGGAGGAAGAAAAGGGGGAAAAAGAAAAAAATAAAAGAGGAGGAAAAGAAAAAAGGGAAGGAGGGAAAGAAAGAACGGAGGGGGGGGAAAAAATCAATTTCCTTACTAAAAAGCGCAGATTTCGCTCCAGCTGAACATTGCTGCTGCTGGTTGGCATCTCCGGGGCCAGGAGTGTCAGCGGGAGATGGGGCTGTGGCTGTGTGCAAAATGGGGAGAAACCCCCTCCCCCGGGGCCACAGGTGCAGAAGCGTTTTGAAAACGCTCCTTAAGCCGCTTTTTATTGTTATTATTATTTCATTGGAAGCTCAGGAGAAAAAAAAAAATGGAGTTTCCATCCCCAAAGCAGGGGAGTGTGCGGTTGTATAAAACATAGCTGTAATATTTTGGAGGACGAGACGGAGCGGCACGGCTAATGACCTCTCCTCCACATGGTACCCTCATCAGGGCCGGGAGAGTCCGTGCATTATCCACAGCCGGCTGCAGGAAAGGCGCGGAGGCAGAGGGGTGGCACTGCCGAGGGGAGATGTCGATGTATGGGCGGCTGCGGGAGAGAGGCGGCTCCGGCTTTTATTGGGGTCTGCTGGTGGTGGGGAATCTTCCCGTTTGACGTGGGGGTGGCGGGGGGGTCCCGGCCTGCTGGTGTTGAAAGGAGCGACCCGCTAACATTTGCTCGGAATACGTCTTTATAAATGTCAGTGAGCAGTGAAATTTTCCGGACTTAAAAGAGGGGTTGGAGACGAAGGGGGAAAGGAGTCCTGTGCTGGGGATGGGGGAGCGGGTCGGGCTGATCCTAGGATTGCTTATGGTGAGGGAGCAGCGGGTCTGGAGGGGTCGGGTCGGCTGCTACTATGGGGGCCAGGGGTTGGAGCTGGGATGGGGACGGCACCAGGAACGGGGTGATGGTGAGGGATGGGTACGGAGCTCTTTGGGGTTTGTGCTATAGGTGAAGGGAGTGGTGTCCTGACGGCTCATAGCTCTGCCTCGTCTTCAGGTTTGGGGCATGAAGAGTGGGGTGTTTAGGGGCAAAGGGGGTCCTGGCAGCTGCCTACCCCATCTTGGGTACCTCTGTGCCAGCTGGGACCCACCGAGTCCTGGCAGACCTCAGGGGTCACCGAGCCCCATCATATCCCCACGACTCACACACCCGTTTGGGGGATCCTGGTCCCAAAGGGCTCAGCTCCCCCCATCCCACTGACTCTGCTCCTCCTCTGCAGGCGCCGGCGATCCTTGCTCAGCCCGTTCGCCCCCCTGAGGAGTAGAGATTATAATGGTGTGTCGTATATTTTTTAATTTCCTAAAGGTAACTGTTCAGTCCCCACCTAATTTTACACAGCATGTGAGGGAGCAGAGCCTGGTGACAGATCAGCTCAGCCGGCGGCTCGTGCGCACCTACCAGCTGTACAGCCGGACCAGTGGGAAGCACGTGCAGATCTTGGACAACAAGAAAATCAATGCGATGGCTGAGGACGGGGACGTGCACGGTAAGGAAGGACGTGGTTGAGGGGGTGGGCTGGGAAGTGTCCACAGCGCTGTGTGCCGATTGATGATTTCCGTCCTGTTGGTTGGCCAGAAATCGTTAGGATCGCTTGGCGTGTGCGGGGGTTTGTGAAGGGAGAACAGCAGGGTGAGCGCTCAGTGGGTTTGGGTGCTTGTGGGGTGGGCGCTGCTCGCTGCTGCTGCACACCTGACTTGCAAGGCTTGGTTTGGCACAGGCAGCGCTGACAGTCTCTGATTCTTCCTTTGGAGGAGAAACAGAGGGTAAAGTTGGAAAAGACGCGAGGGGGTTGAAATTGTAGGTGAAGTGCTGCTCTGGAGTCCTGCCCTGAGTTAGAGCCATCCAAAGCGGTGCTTCCCCCACATACTCCCCTTCCTGGTGCTTCCCCTTCCCCAGCTAGGAGTGTGGACTCAGCGAGGTGTTGGCTGCGGGCGAGGAGGACACAAAGCTGGGGAGGCTGTGCAGCTGTGCACAACTCTCCTGCTGCTGTGCGACAATTGGCACCCCGTGTCCCCCCAGCCGGTGGTTCCGTGGGGAGGAGAGCGGTGCCACGCTGCAGCCACCCGAAGCCAGGACACCTCGGCCACGCGTGCTGGTGTCACATGGGGACAGTGGCATCAGCCCCATCCATGGTCAGTGGGGCACCGTGCCCCACTCCCTTGTGGACAGGAGGTGCCCGTGCTGGCGTGTGCCGTACGGAGCCATCCCAACTGTCGTTCTTTGACGTTAGCCGCATTTTCCCTTTCTTGTTGAGGGAGATTAGTAGGAGCACTTTGCTTCCTTCCCCGGGTGGTTTGGTGTTTGGTTTTTATTCCCATTTTTGCTTTGGCTGCCGATGTCGCACTGAACTTCAGCTGTGTGTGGAATCCCGTACGCAGTGTTTGTCGGGAGCCGCTCCTGGATGCAAGGAGCGTCAGCCAGCTTCCCAAGCAAAAGGGCCAAGCAAACCCCAAAGCCTCCTCTGGCTTTAGCCCTGTAACGCCTCCGTTTTCAAGGCAGCTCCGCACCTCCAGGAGCGGCCAGGTTTAAATAAGGCCAAAAGGAGGGGACGCGCGGCGGCGGCTCGAAAAACTCTATTAAAACGTAATAAAAGAGGTGAAGCATCTGAGGAGCGGGGCAGGAAAACGAGGGCTGATCTAAAGCAGAAAGAGAACAAGCAGTTTTTCAGATGTAAAGTTTTAGGAGTTGCAAGTCTGTAAATGTTAAAATAGAGGTTCGGGATTGTTCTATATGAATCTCCAGGGAGGCCCCCATGTCTGGAAGAGCTATTAAATCGCTTCTTACTTTCACCTTTTTTAACATTTCCTGAATACTTTCTCCTCTTCGCAGTCCAGTTGGGGGATCAAGTGTGTCTCGCTGCATTTTTTCAGCGTTTACGTAGCCGCTTTCCCTTCAAAGTTTGAGCACGAAACATAACTTTTCTGGGATAAATCTGTCACTTCAGCGAAAGAACAGAGTTGAAAATGTTAAGCTCCCCCCCTCCCTTAAATAGGGAGAAAAAAATGACTCCCCAAAACCTTTGTCAGAAGAAAATACCCTTCGTTAGAAAGGGCCCTTCCTTCTGCAGTGTGTGGTTGTTTTTTTTTTTTTTTCCCCCATCTGATTTTTGGGGCAGGCATGCAGAAGGAACTGATTTATTTTTGTGGGTGACCCCTTTTCCCATGCTGACGTTTTTACAGCTGACTTCACATGGAGCCCGGCGCTGTCGGTTATCTGTCTTAATTGTCAATATCTGATGGACTCCTTCTCGGCCCTGGCAGCACTGCTGGCTTCTCCCTTCCTCTCCTGCGGTGCTGTTGATCTGCTCACCCCCCTGCGGTCCCTTTGCTCGGGGTTGTCCCCATCCTGCAGGCTGATGGCTGTGACTCCAGGGCTGGAGGGGAGTGCCGCGCATCCGTGCCTGCCTTCCTCCTCCCTCCCTCCCTGCTCTTCCTATCTCTGGGAGAGAGCAGGGAAAAATCAATTCTCCTTAAAGCTTTGACTGCCTCCCGGATCAATCCTTCCCCATATGGGTGATTGGGGGTCTCTGGCTTGGTGGTCTAGGGATGCTGAGCCCCTACAAGGGGCTGGTGTGAGGTGAGGGCGGCCAAATTTCCTGGCTCTGAGCTGGGCTGAGGGTGTGGGATGGTGCATGGGGTGCTGGAGGTGAGGAGCTGTGGGGGGCAGTGGGAGAAGTCCCCACGCTTGGTGCAGGATCAAGACTTTGTGGAGACAGGCGGTGATTTACCTGTGATCCTGAAGTACTTCTCAGGCTGGGTTTCGTGAGCGCATGGCCTGGGTCTGCCATCCAGCAGCATCACTGCAAAGCCACTGCAGGGCTGGGGGCTACTGGTGAAAATGAACTGCATCGTGGTCCTGAGGAACTGAGCATCCCATCTGCAGAGCTGGGAGAACAGTGCACCCTGTGGGGCAGAGGCTGTGTGCTCTGAGTGCCCCTGAAGTTGGGGGGGGCAGCAGTGAGGGCTGGTTTGTGGCAGGACGTGGTGGTGAGGTGGGACAGCCCTGGGGGGCTTTTTGTGGGGAAGCCTTTGGCACGCGGCACAGCAGGGCTCTGCTGCTGCAGTTGGGCTTGGGGTTTGCCCCAGGAGGAGAGCTGCCAGGGGGCTGCAGGGCGGGGAGGAGGATGCTCTGTTCCCAGGGTGGCCGCGCAGGAGGGAAGGTGACAGGTCTATTTATAGGCGGCCAATCGACCTGCGATTTGCATAGCTCCTTAGGAAGTCAATCGATGCCTCCATTAAAAAACTGAGACCAAATCAATATGCCCTCTCGACTTGTGCAAAGGTGAAAGGCATTAAAAGGATGGCCGTACCCTTCACGCCTCCCCTGCCAGCTGCAAAGTCACTGCTCCTCCTGCAGCCCCAGCTCGGTGCAGTGTCCCCACGGGCTGAGGACAGCTGGCAGAGCACTGTGCAGGGCAGCTGCCCTGTCCCCTGAGATCCCTTTTTCCTCCTGGGATGCCCCCATGGCACCTGAGCCACGTGGATCTGGGCAAGGCAGAGCTGCTCCAAGTGACAAAGTGAGGTGACCAAGGCCTGCCATGCAGGGATGCAGTGACAGGGAGGAGGCTGGCATTGCCAGGTTCTCCACCCCCGTGACCTCCCTGTCTCTCCTCCTGCTGCTCTCTCCAGCCAAGCTCATCGTCGAGACCGACACCTTTGGGAGCCGCGTGCGCATCAAGGGGGCGGCCACGGGGTTCTACATCTGCATGAACAAGAAGGGGAAGCTGATCGGCAAGGTAGGGCGGGGGTTGGCACCCATCCCTGGGTTAGGAGGTGAGGTGGGGTGGGGAGCACAGGGCTCTGTAGACAAGGAAGCCGCAGCCCGGCAGCAAGGGAAGGGGAGGGTGGGTGCAGTGTCCTTGTATCTCCCCGAACAAATAGGCGGATTGCCGGGCTATTCTCCCCGATTACATGGTACAAGGGCTGGGAATGTTAAGATGCTCCGTGGGGCAGGCCCTGAGCACACCGGTTAGTCACGCTCCCTCTGAGCCTCCGTGCTCCTACCCCGGGGTGGATGAGCAAAATCCTGGCAGGGCAATGAATTTTCAGGAAGGTTTATCCATTTCTTGGGGCTGGCTGATGTAAACCTGCTCGGGAACCATGACAGATTGGGTCCTCTCCCTGGTCCCTGTGTCTTGTCTGAGGTGCAGGAGCTCAGCCTCCAGCTATTCCATTGATCCCTGCAACTGGTATCTGTGAGTGTTACAGAGTGGTTGGGTTGGAAGGGACCCTGAAGACAGTAGGATCACAGAATATTTGAGTTGGAAGGGACCTTTAAACCCACTCAGTTCCACCCACTGCTGTGGGCTGGATGCCCCTACCAGATCAGGGCCTCATCCAACCTGACCTTGAGCATCTCCAGGGATGGGGCACTGGCCAAAATCTGGGCAGCAACCGAACCCTCATCCTTCATATCGTTCCACCGTCCTCACGGACCACGTCTTGTCCCTTCCCTGTGCTCACTGCCCAAAGGGTGGGTGGGTGGCTCACTCCCTGCTAGAAGTCAAGCGGTGAGAAGCGCTCCCGTCGCTCATCCCCATCCCTCTATCCCCGTCTGCAGAGTAACGGCAAAGGCAAGGACTGCGTCTTCACCGAGATCGTGCTGGAGAACAACTACACGGCGCTGCAGAACGCCAAGTACGAGGGCTGGTACATGGCCTTCACCCGCAAGGGCCGCCCGCGCAAGGGCTCCAAGACCCGGCAGCACCAACGCGAGGTGCACTTCATGAAGCGGCTCCCCAAGGGCCACCAGACCACCGAGCCCCACCGGCGCTTCGAGTTCCTCAACTACCCCTTCAACCGCAGGAGCAAAAGGACTCGAAACTCCAGCGCCAGGGTGCGCCCGTGACGCGTGCCCTCGTGGACTGGCATAGGGACTGTGATAGGGTTCTTAAAGGAAAAGAAAGAAAGCAACAGCGGGGGATGGGGGGAGGATAAAAGAACTACGCTACTAGTTGTTGATGATTTGGGGGTGGCTCTGTTTTTACAAAAAAAAAAAAAAAAGATAAAAAAAAAAAAGAAGAAAGAGGCTCTATTTTTGTACTCCAACTTTACAAGAGATGAGATGTTCAAAGACTGCTGAAGGGAGGAAGAGCCCTTCGCTTAGAAATGTTTTAGTGTTTGGGGTCGTGTTTTGGTTTGTACTTTTTTATTTTTTTCTTTTTGGTAGCTCTAGGGGGGAAAAATCCTCACTTAAAACAAACAAGGAAAAAAAAAAAAAAAGATGGGAATCCAACCCAACCAAACTGAACAGATGCTCACCTGAATGGATGCTCAGCGGAGAGGTTGGATAAGGATGGAGGGAAAGGACGTGCCTCGAGGTGACGGAGGATTCATGTCGTCAACTAGGGCCAACTGCCCTTGAGTGCCTCGCAAGGAGTCCTGGACCAGTTTGGCACCGCTCACCCATCAGAGCATCTGTGGATAATTTTTTATTTTTCAATTTTTTTAACTACTACGGTGAGGCAGCGGGTGATGGCTGATAACTGTTTTTGTGGTGGTTTTTTTTTTTTTTTTCTCCATCTTCACAATGTGAGCTTTTCACCAAAAATTGACTTTTTAAAAAAGATCAGGTGGATTTTTTCATTTGTCAAATTAAAGAAGCTGACAAATCACTGCAGAGCCCCTTTGGGCTGTTTTGTGGTAGTATTCGGTTTGGTGCTTGACTCTTCCATCCTCAGCTGTCTCTTCCAGGTTTGCTCTCTCATCTTTGCCCGAGGAAAAGAGAGGGTTTCCGTAACAGCTTCTGTTGATGGAGGCCCAGATTTTTATTTAGGCCAAAAAAGGATCCAGGGGAAGATGAAATCCTTTGAGTGAGCAAACCCACCCCCACTCCGCTCATGCTGCCCTGGGACTGCCTCTCTCCAAAGGGTTAAAGCAATTATTCTTAATGGGGAGGGCAAACAAAGACACTGGATAGAAGCCAGGACCAGGGGTGAATTTTCATCCAATTTTTTTTATTTTTATTTTTTTCCTGTTTCCTTGAGGATTTTTTTTTTTTTTTTCAGTTGTGTACAAAATTTAATGTGAAATGATTTGAAATATTTATTTAATATGTGCATTAAAAATTTGTATTAGCCTACCTGAGCCTGCCTGCTTTCCTGGGAGGGCCTGGAGAAGCAGGATGGAAGGGGGGTGGGGAGGATGGAGAGATGCAGGACAGGCTGAGGCTGCCGCATGGTGCCAGCCCTTCCCAAAGGTGCAGAGATGGGAGGGTGCCTGAACTTCTGGATCCAGGTGTGTTTTATGGAAATCATTTTCCTTGAGGAATTCCCAGGTTTAATGGGGAGATGGCACCTCTCTGCCCTATGGAGGTGCGTGCATTTGTTCCTCGGGGGTGCAGTAAAATGGAATCTTGGCACGGGATGAGGCTTTCATGGAGTCATATCAGAATCGCACAATGGTTGTGTTGGAATGGACCTTAAAGCCCACCCAGTTCCTCCCTCCTGCTGTGGGCTGGGTGCCACAGGTCAGGGCCCAGGGCCCCAGCCAACCTGACCTTGGGTACCCACAGCTCTCTGAGAATGCTCAGAGCTTCTTCTCAAGTGGCCCCAGTTGTCTCCAGTTGGCCACGCAGCAGTGTAAGGAGGGGTCTCAATCAGGGCTGGAGCTCACAGTGCTGGGACAAACCCGTGTTGTTGTCCCCAGATTGCAGGGAATACAGGTGAATGGCTCCTGGCCCTTCCCTAGGTGGAGATGGTGTTTGATAGGTCTTAATGGGTGCTTTTCTTTCATTAATTTGTCTAATTGCTTCTCTTAATGGTTTTGCGAGCCTGGATGAATCGGTACTTGGTGGCTGCTCCAGGTAAGGGCAGCAGAAGGGCAGGACTGGCTTCGGGCAGGTCACCAGGTGTCCCCTTGTTTCTTCCCCTGGGATAATGGCATGGGGGAGGGCATGGCCTGGGCACTCCATGCCCGAGGCCACCCAGCACCCTGGGACAAGGGGACAGGGTTTGGGGAGGAAGGGTGTCCCAGCACAGCCTACGAGCTTGTGCTATTGGCTGTGCTGCTGAGAAAGGCACCCAGGCCTGGCTCCTGCCGAGGGATGCTGGCTCTCCCAGGGTGGTTGGTCTGAGGTTAATTAGTTCCTTTTCATTTAAGAGCTTTTGGGTTACCATACAACCTAGGAGCATTACAATTTGGGGCTTTGTTTATTGCATGAAGGTGTCTAGATTCAGCTTCCAGCCAGCAAATGCCATTTTGCCTTTGCTTGGAAGATTAAAGTGCCTGCTGCTACTTAGTTAATGAGTAAGTGAATTAATTAATGGCTTCTCATACCCTTTTCCTGCACTGATATCACTTGATCCTGGCTGGAGCAGCATGCCCAATTCCCAGCAACGTGGTACTGAGGGATGTGGTGGTGATGGGTTGACGGTTGGTCTAGACAGTCTTAGTGATCTCTTCCAGCCTTCAGGATTCCATAGCAGGGAATCAGTAGGTGGAGGTGGCAAGAGTGGCAAGCTGTGCTGCTGGAGCAGGGCTGTATCCCCCCACTGCACCAGAGCTTGGTCCACTACTGGAGCTTGTTGTCTGTGCTCTGTCCTGTCACCACGAGCAGCCCAGTCATCAACACAGAGTGAACGCACAGCAACTTGTCCATGAGGTGCCCATGAAGCAGGGTGAGCCTTGTAGTGCATGGCAAGAACGGGGCACGCTCCAGTTGGGAAGGAGGGCTGGGCTGTTTGTTTATTGCATCAGGCTCAGCTTTCAAACATCTCCCTGCCATCCCCATCCCCCTCCTTCAATTAATTCTGGGTAAGGAGTCCTGGCTTTATTGTGCCACCGAGCCAGGGCTCCCTGTGGGAAAAGTCACACCTTCTGAACAGCTTCTGATACCATGCAAATGAAGGACAAGTCCAGGAAACGCTTTCATCTCGGACCTGTCCAGCCCCCTGCCCATTAATTACACACATTTCATTTGTGTGAGAGCAATTCCTCTCGAGGAGGGGGCGGGGAATGGCCACAGAGTGTGGATCATCTCAGCCCTGCTCTCTAAAGACCCCTCCTTGGAAGGGGAGTTATAGCCAGAATCAGGGACTGTTAAGGACTCAGTAGGGGATCCCATATTTCTGCTCATGCACAGCCACTCCAGATGGAATCATAGAATGGTTGGGTTGGAAGGGACCTTAAAGATCATCTAGTTCCCACCCCCCTAGCTGTGGTTACAAGCGTTGCAGGAGCATCCTTGAAGGGAGGTATAGGACTGAGCAGAAATAAGCTCAGTGTTCTCCCAGGAGAGCAAGTCTCCAGGGCAGGAAGGCTCGCTGCCCATGCATGGACTAGTCCCAATGTTCCTGCTGAGCATTTCTCTCTCTGGGTCCCTCTCCTTTTTTCACAGCCCCTCTGAATCTGGTAGTCCTGGCACAGCTGATGGCACCTCCACTCTGGCTCCCATTTGCCTGGGGCTGATGGGGAGAGTCGGCCCCAGATCTTGGAGAAGACACAGAGACAGGGATTGTGGAATCGGTGGGTTTTTGCAGCTTGTTTCCTGCCCATAATAATAACACTTAGCACTTCCATAGCACTTGGGATGCCCCAAGCACCTACACATCTGCTCCTCATTACCACCCCACTTTCCAATTGCAGCACCTCTGCCCCCTGCCCACACACAACCTCAAGCAGCCACAGTTCTCCCCAGAAATGGGGCTACTCTTGCTTTCCCCCAGGAATCTCCTTTGGGGTAGGGTCCCGGGGAGCTGCGACTGTGTTCTGCTTTGGGGTTGGGGCAAGATACTGCTCTCCTGACAAAGCCATGCTGTGTTCACCAAAGGGTGAGCTGGGGCTTGTGAGTAGCAGCCCATGCTGCTCCACCATGAAACCCACTGCAGATGTGCTGCTCTGGAGAAGAGGCGTTCATTCAACGTACAGCATCTCTCCTGCATTCGTAAGGGCTGGAGCACCAGAAGGTCCCTTGTGGCTGTCAGATGCGGTGGCCAAGATGCAGTCTGTGATTGTGAAGTCCTGAACCAGACTGGTAAGAAGCACTATGGCTGTGCCCAGGTATTTTTGCTGACCTTGTGCTATTGTGGGCTGGAAATGGGATGCTGAGCGCTGTTGGAGCGTGGGTGCCTGATGTGTATCCCTGCTCCCATCTGGGTCCCCTGTTCAGTTTGGAGGACCCCTATCAGACGCAGTCATGGCACTGTGAAGGTCCCTGCTTCCTAGGATGACCTCTCCTTTCCATATGGCCAACAGTCTTTTTTCTTCTCTTTTCCATCTTTCAGAACTTTTATAACATAAGGAGATGGAAAAACTCAGCTTCAGTGATCCTTTTGCCAACTCTACATTGCAGTAACACCCTGGTGGATGGAGTCTCTCATTTTATGAGTTGCTCCCAGAGTGGATGGCAGCCCTTGCCCAAAGACATGCTATCATGTAAGGTCAGTTACACCAGGTGGCACCAGCTGGCGTGGCAGATCTTGGTGTGCTCACTGGTTTTGTTGCTGCCATAGCAAAGCAGACTTTGCGAGGGACTTGGAGGAGGGCTGGAAGGTGGATGCTCACAGCAAGTATGAGAAAAACCCCAGTTGCAACATCCAAAAGAAAGACCAATCGACCCAAAAAACCCCAAACTCTACAACGGAAAATGCTGCTGAGATGCAAGGTGACAAGACGCAGGCTGTACATTGGTAGGAGAAATTTGGCTTGGAGATGTGAAATGAGATGCTGAGTGCTGGCTTGATTTGCATGCTCAGCCCAGCGCCCGTGAGAAGCAGCTGCCCAGCTGGGAGCCGGCCCTTTGGTAACGGCCTGCGAATTTCCCCAGGCTCCGTTAATTGCGGGCCGGCTGCTAGTTACAGCTCCCAGTCAATTGCTGGGAGTGTTGGGCCCTGCTGAACAACCCCTTGAAATCAGTTGTTAGCCCAATTAACAACCAGTTTGGCTACAGTTCGGGCTGTTAACCATCAAACAGATAACTGC